AAATCTCTAATATATTAATGTGAACAGGCCAAACTCCCAAATTTTTAAATATTTAGTCCATATTTCTTAGGCATAATATTTTTTTCGGCTAGTAGACCAATTTATCCAAAATTTTACAACAACATTCTTACACAAAAAAATCAATCATAAGCTCAACTCCTATTAGCAGACCAACAATATAGGTAAATAAATGAGGATTCTTACCATAGTCTATGTGAAAGATCTAAAACATGATTTATAAAATAGAAAATATAAATTCAAATTTTACATCAAGATAGAGATTAACCAAAAATGATGTCACACTTCAATTCAGTAATAAAACCCCTTCAATGATTTATTAGAGATATTCTATCTGAGACAAAAATATTTTCTGGTGAATAATGTCCCAATTATCAAAATTAAAACAATAATAAGGAATATAAACAAGTAAACACGTACCAAGTAATAAAGAAACAATTTAATATAACATTAATACTTTGCTTTGAAATCGATGAATCTTTTACAATTTTTGTCCATGCTTGCGCTAGCATTATTTATCCATCATTATTGGTTTTCTAGTTCAATGACTATAAATGATTGACATTCAAACCATGAATTATTAGGCCAAAATAATTAACAAATGTGGTAACATCTTCTAGTAGGAATCAAATGGAGTATATATCTAAATAAACAGACTAAGTAAAATCCATGCTTTGTAAAGGATGACTAACAAAAACAAATAACAAACATGGACACACAGCCTACAAAGGTAAGTAACTAATCGAACATAGCTTAAAAGCATGAAGACAAATGTAGATGTATAGTCTATGAGGGTAAATAACTAAATGCTTCATCGGCTACAAAGACAAACATGGACGTATAGTCCAATATTAGGGAGAATGATAAGTAAGGACCTTGTAAGAATATTAATGTCAAATTTAATATTGAAACATGGTTGGAGGAGTATTGAAATTTGAGAACGTTAGTGTTGAAAAATCCTAATTTGATATTAATATTCTTACAAGATCTTTATTAGTCATTCTCTCTAAATACCAATAAAATGTGACTTGAAGCTGTGAAATTAAATGCAGGTATGAGACCCACGATTAACAGTCATTAGTGTGATACTCACGAATATCAAATGTGAATACTATGCCCACAAGTACCAAGCTAGTTAGGTTTTAACCATGGCACGCTAAGTGCTAACGAGATTGTTAGCAACTAATATTCTGTATGAAGTCATATTTGACAAAATATAGGTAGGTTGTGTGAATAAAAGCTAACTAAAATATTTTTTTTTTAACAAAATTGGACTTGGCTTTATGAAGTAATTGACTTGATTACCCCCCACCCCAAATTTTTTAGTCAAATTATGAAAATGAAACACTGGTTTAGAAATCTTCCCATTGTAAAATTTTCTTACCTATGACTTTGCATGTTTGATTATTTCTAGGCTAGCTGCATATTTTACAATCAACGTAACATGTTCGTCTCTTGATGCTACATATTATTCTCCTAAGCTCATTTAACGTTTGAGAACTGATGCCCAAAAATTGGTTCTCAATTCCTCTAAAAGGGAAAGGTCAGCAGTCAGCCTGTAACTCATACAAGTGATGTCATGTAATTCTTCTGAAAAAAATTGACTTGTACAAAATATGTAGGTTATGCAAAGGAAGTTTGACAAAATTTTAGTACAAAATTGGACTCGATTTTATGAAATACTTGATGATTGGTTCCATTCTTTGAGTCAAAATTTGAAAAATGATACCAGTATTTGGAAACTTCTCTCCATTAAATTTACCAACTCATGACTTTCGTTTCTCTGTATATCAATATAGATCCCAAAAATAAGAAAAAGGATGTTTGTATTGATAAGTCACTACTCCCTTTGTTCCCATTTATAAGATAATTGCAGAGGTGATTTAACGTCCCATAATATATTATTAATCTACTCAACTAAAATATTTTCAGAAAAGTCTCCTAGTATTTTATTATATTAAATATAATGAATCTGAATGTGGAAAAAGTGATTTAAGATGAATAAACTTGTTGGTGTCCCAATTATTTCCTCCATTTCTGAACATAGGAGACATGGCCAGAGCAAGGATTTAATAAAAGGGGGGAAGCCAGATTAAAACACGTGTATGCTACAAAGTTTACATAGATTTTAAGGAGGCAAGAAGTATGTAACATCTATATATAAAATTTTAAGAAAAAATTAACAATGTGTTATATATATGCAAATTTATAAATTTCAATTAACATTTATTATAATTTTCCTAAATTACCCCTAATAAAATTATAGTTTTCATTCACGAGACAAAACATTAATGCAAACTTATTTGATTAAGTGCAAAGATATTTTAGTTTAGTTTTTTTATTTGTAGACATAATTATTATACTTAACCAACATTATTAAACTATGTGAGCTGGCTATTTTCCCTTATACTCCTATTTATAAGACACCTTCTAGAAATAATTTTTGGTCTAAAATATAGAATACCAAATAATGATTAAACTACTTTTTCCAATTACACCCATTTTTTATTAACATGAAATTATTTAATATAGTTGAATTATTATTTAAAGTCAAGGGTCAAAATGAAAGTATATATCACTTTTTTATGATATCAAGTAAGAAATTAACTTTTCTTAATATACATGAAACGGTTGAAAGTATTCTATAATAAGAACCTGAGGGAGTATTCAAAAAATGGAGGGAGTATTTAAACTAACTTTCCTGTTTCAAAATAAATTCCTCGTTTCAACAAATTTATGCATGAAATCACGCATCAGTTGCCATTAAGAAAGTCTATGCCGATTGGCCAAACTGTCCAAAAGTTTAAGATTTGTGATTTATGAATAATAATTAATGTTGTTAATATTTTTAATTTGAATACATTATTCTCTACAATTCATTTTTATAACGGCATAAAAAGTTGTTCTAATTATAGATATAAAAAATGCAGCTTAAATGCTGCATTACAAATGAAAGTCAACAGCGAAATAGATTCTGTATTATTATTTTGGAAAAGAAGCTTAAAAAAATGTCCACACAAAGCCAAGTATCATGCATGTACAAGACAACTCAATTTTGAACACTTTCTTTTCTATTTGCGCATAATTTTGATGGCATTCAATTCTTCTGAAGAAAATCGAATTATTCAAAATAGGTAGGTTGTGAGGAGGAAAGCTAACTAAAATATACAATTTCTTTTGGCAAAATTGGAATTATGAAAGTTAAAACCAGGTTTAGAAATCTTCCCACAGTAAAATTTTCCAACGCATGACTTTAAGGATGTTTGATTTTTTCTATGATTGATATCAACGAATATATTATATAAAAACATAAATTACATCACCCAAAAAATGTAAATTACATTGACACACTCACACATACACATTATATAAATCTAACATATTGGAATTTACCTCTAATTAGGTATCCTTCCGTGTCAAAGACACTTCCTAGTTAATTTATTGTTCTTTCGTGTGATTAATAATTAATAAGCATAAAGCAATGTCAACAAAATTCAGGATCTAATAACAAAATTATTGAGGAGGCAATTGCGTATATTGGCTGCCACATCCTTTAATAAATAACTCGTTAAGAAAATACCTAATTTGACTATATTTGCTCATTAGTACACATAAGATACTTCTTATAAATGAAGATGAACTCTTTTATGTTGATTCTGTATATTGGAATCAAGATTTAATCCTAATGATTTCATTGAGCTAGAGAGGTTACTTCAAAACACACAAGCGCATTCCTCAACATCATGATTTGCAACTATAGATATCATTAAAAAAAATGCTTGGGAAATATGATGGAAGATGTTTGTTTTGAGAAATTTTTTTTTTACTTACTTCCTCCATTCCTATTTATAATAAATTTTGAAACAAAATTATGCATATCAATAAAGCTCATTAAATATACTTTACAACTTTATTTTTGAAAACAAAAACATAAACTTTAAAAAATTATATTTCTTTTATTTAATACTCTGTTTATAAAAGAATGTTGTAGAGAGAGAATATAATAGGAAGGCTAATATTGAAAAAGCATCGTTAATATTTATTTTTGTCAAATTGTCTAATATTTTAGGATATTGATCTATTCAAAAGTGTCTTATAATTTAGGGTAGAGGTAGTATGGAAAAGAGCATATTGCTAATTAAAAGTCTAAATGAATTTTATGAAATGAGATATCGTCATATTCAAATCTTTAGAAACTATAAAAAGGTCCGTCCTGCATATATGTTAAATAAGTTTTTTTTTTATTTTGAAACAGGTTAATTTATTGAGTCTCTTCTAGATGTGGCTCGTTTTGGATCCATATCCTGATTGACTCTCTGTTTTGATTCTCTTATTTTATAAAAAAAATATTACAATTTGAAATATAATAATTAGCTTATCTTAGAAGATGATCATCAATGATCAAGTAAATTTTTATTCATTAATTAATATAATAATTAATTATTCACATTAAACCGTACATGCATCAAACAAGGCGGGTTTAAAATTTGATCTATATATTAAACAAATAATTCAAATAAATTTTATAATTATATTATAAAAAAATAATATTTAATACCAAGTTTCGTTAGAAGATACTTTACTTATCATCTTCTTACTTGATACAGTCCGTGTACTTACAAATTAGGTTGTAGCTATGAATAGATTTTGTGCCTACCAAGTTCTCACTAACATTTTAAATGAGTACGTGGAGCTTTTAGCCGGAACCTTAAATGAGGGAAGCTTTCGCACGATCAAGTTTATTCTTTTTTGTATTGATCGGCAAGAATAGAAACGGCAAAGAATCAAGTTTATTCAATTAAAATAGAGTAAACTTGAATACAAGCCCGACCTTTCTTATAGGTGTAAACGAACCAGAAGTGTTAGCCATTTGTATTCGTATTGATAAATAAATCTAGGCTTCATAGTTCATAAACATGACAATATATACATATATATAACTTATAAGATATCAATAAAATGTATTTTGTAAAAAAAAAAAAGTAACATTTTATTATTGGAAGCTTGTCCTGTGGAACCAACGAAAGAAATTCAAGGTGAATCCAATGACACTCCTCACTTCCCCAGCCTTTTTACTCAACCACAAAATTAATTTGTGGTAGAATGTTCAAATATGAGTGTACAATTGAATTGACATAGAACGTTCTACACCAGATAAAGTTATTTTAGAAAAGTAAATATAAATTTCAAATATATAGATGGAGATGACATGCATGAAGACACAATGAAAAGTTATTCAAGCAGCAGTTCTGAAGATTATATGACTTTCTCAAATAGGACTTTTTCAATGTGAGAGTTGACAGTGTCTGGATCAGTGTGAGCAGCGTAGTAAAAACCCTTGGTCACATTGAGGAATGTCTTCTTCATGTTGAGATCCATGCCATTAGAAGAGAGCACCAATTGCACCAGCTCTTGCATTTTCTCCCCTATTTCTGAATTGGAGCTGACACTTGTGTTGGCCATGCGGCTTCCATTATTCTTGTTTTCCTGATTATAATTTTAAAACCAGATAAATAAGTATAAGTGGACTGTAACATCCATACATTATCATTAATTAAGAAGATATAAAAAAATAATCTCATTTATTAATGATGCTTATTTGAAGTTGGTAATTAAGTAATAATCACCTTGGTGCTTTGGAGAGAACGTAATTGGTGGCATAGTTGATTACAGAGTTGAAGGAGCCTCTCGTACTGAGGATTGATCTTTAAGTCATTAAAAAGTTGGCCGCCGCCATTAATATTAATCATGTTCACCAACAGCTCGGCTTCTCCTTCCCACTTATCTCCTTCGCTTTGCCATCCCAATAGCCACTTCTTCCACTGCAAGCATTCATAGATCATCATAATGCTGAATGAAATTACTTAATATTGGTTTTACTATTATTTTATGAGTATAAGTCTAAAGAGAGCGCATCCCAAAAAACTAGCATGTTGGGTAAAAGAGTTGCTTTAATAGAGACTCATGACAATGACACTCCTTTTAAGAAGGAACATCCCTAATAGCTCCAATCCATGATACTTCACTGAGCATCCACTGGTCATAACCCTCCATGGGTAGGGACAAACCCACATTAGAGAGAGAGACAATTGAAACCATGAAATATGCAAAAATTACACTTACTTTTTAGTTTAAATTACACTTCGCCCCTTTAAAATTGCTATTCCTGCCCCCATAAAAAATCAATTGTCCCGCATTTTCTTTAAAATTATCAAGTATACATGTTTAAAAATATTGTTTACTCTTGTATTTATTAAATGAAATTAAGATATATTTTTAAACTTCTCATATAATTTATTTATATATTAATTTAATTAATATCTAGAATTATATTTTTTTTTAAAAAAATTTATTTATATTTGACATAAATGTAGTCCCCATTGCTAAATTTTTCTAGGCCCATCACTATTGGTTGATAATCCCTTCTAATCCATGACACTGATCAATTAATGAAAACACCAATGTTATGAGCACAAGTTTAAAAGGAGAATCCATTTCAAAAGGCTAACAAGTGTAGAAGAGCCTCTCATATTTATAAACCCTACTTGACTTTTGAAGCTTCTCAATATGGGATTCATGTTCTTGTTCATTATCAAAAGTTCATGAAAGTAAGCTTTGTAACTAGAGAGACTAACCATATCATGAAGAATATCAAAACTTGCCGCTGTTGAGCTCTGTGAGAAGCAATGCAAAGTTTCTGTTAAAGTCCCCAGTAACCCTTCTCTACTTCGATTTTTATTCAGCCATCTGCAACAACAATGCGTATAATTAAGTAATAGTTTTAATTAAAGTTAAAATTTAAGAGATAATTACCGCTCTCTGAGAAGTGTAATTACCGTTCATTTAAGGAGCTACCGACATCATTGAAATCATGCACAAAGGCTTTTCTTTGGCATTGGTCATGATATGTGGATGTAACTGTGTGAATAAGAGCAGAAGTTTTGACCCATGCAAGCCGTTCCTGTGATCTCTCAGGCTCGAATATGTTGGCTACAGCCAAAAAGTAAGCCAAAAGAAGCCTTTCTTTACTCAATCCTAAACTTTCTAGTCCCCATTCTGAGTACCACCTATAAAAATCCATCATATATAATCAAATGTTATCAGTTAACAATTTTGATCTAATCGGATCGTTACTAACAGAATGAGAAAATGAGAATGAAGGATCTTGGTAGAAAAGTCATTACACTTGAAGACCTCTTATTCAAGAAATAACTATTAAGAGCCAATGTCAATGCAGAAATTGGAGACTCTGTTGTAAATGCCAGAACTTCAATCTTAAATTATCCAAATCCTCTTTCTCATATTCTTGTATTATTTGAGTTCTAAAATGCATAAATTTAACAGAAAATAAAAAAAATGCAGTAGTTGTAAATAATGAAAATTATTTTTTGGCAAAAAAGTAAATGATGAAAGTTTACTCTTTGAAAAATGAGTTTCTAATTTTCACAATTGCGTTTTTGGTTTTGAAAAGTCATTGTCTATTTCTGATGAGCATGGGGCATTCTGATCCTTAGTATTTTCCAAAGAAGCATAAAAGATCTTGCTCTTTAATTGTCATCTCCTAAAACATTAATTAGGGAGTCTTTGGACGTCATTACTTTTTCTTTCAAGTTTCTTTCTTGTTAAGTTCTCAGATTATCTTTGAAGCGAATTAAGTAGGGAAAAAGAGATTTAGGCTTTTCCTTACTCTTGGATTCTTTCCCATTCCCTACGATGCAAGTGTTGACACATGTTATAGTCTAATTTTCCAAGTTCGAGATTATTGTTATTGTTTACTCTGTGCAGCCTGTCAAAAACAGAAAAAGAAAAAAATTATTTGAGGTCAACATAATATTTTGTGTACATATATATATATATTAGAGAAAAATCTGAATCTTACTGAGACTTCAGTTACCTGTAAAGGCTCTTGGAAATCCAGACATCATCTCCACCACCATATTGTTCTAAGTAAAATCTAGTCTCTACACGAGGCAAGCTTGCATACCATGGAAAATCCAACGCATAGCTTACCTGTTATTTTTGTTTAGGAAAATTAATAAAAAAATACAAAATCAAACTAAGGTTGTTATTTAAAATACAAATAAAAAAAATAAACTTGAATATTGAAATAAAATGTACATACCTCGCCAGATAGATCCTTCGATATGATCCATTTATCAAGGATTTGATTAGTAGCTTGTTTTTTCGACAAGAAATTAATTGCAAAGTTCTTGCCTTCATCAAGAATCATCTCTCCTGGGAATTGAACTTGAGTTGCTCTGTAAAAATTGAATATCACTGTTGCTCCTTCATCTGATTGACCGGGATAGCAGAAGAACTCTCCATCTTTCTCAAAATTTTTAAATACGCCTATCAAATACGATACCGACTGCATTAATTTATATTTTTCTTGAAAATTAATTTAATTACATAGTACTTTATATCTATTTGTAGCTGTACTATTTATATGAACGTATAACATTTTACTTACTAGGGGAAGCATCATAGCCATTCAATCTGAGTAGTCTGAATCCCATTGCTGTATCATCAAGGTCTGGCAAATCTGAATATCTTGTCCATCCAAGACCTCTCTCATTCCAATTTCTGATACAAAAATCCAATAAAAAATAGTGTTATGAAAGATGGTTCCTTTCACTCTATTAACTTCTGGACAAATCACTCTTATTCTCACAATTTTCACTTCCAGTTGTAATAAGTTGTAGTAAACTAATAACCTGATCACAATAATCTCTTACCTTCTAAATATTTTGACATTAAATTTAACTCCAGCTACATTAAGTTATTAAAATACATTATAATATATTCTCACCCGTCTTATTTATAAAGTAGAGAGATAAATTTTTTTGTCCTATTTATAAGTCTCATCATTAATTTTTTATAATAATTTCCCATATTACCCTCTGTTAAATGTTTTTAAGAGATATTACTCCATCCATCCTAAATTATAAGATAAAAATATAAACTTTTAAAAATATTGTTCATTTAATACGTTAAAAAGAAAAAGGACAGAAATTAAATAGAGAGAAAAGATATATTAGAATAAACCTATTTAATGAAACCTTAATTTTTTTTCAAAATATCTTATATTTTGGCATGTCAAAGCTCCCCCAAAAGTGTCTTAAAATGTGAGATAAATGGAGTACATTATTAAAGTATATATATTCAATAATGATAAATTTAAAAACTCATTAAATTTTTATAGAGAGTTAACAAGTTTTAAGGTTTTCTTGATTTTGGTTAAAAACATCATTGTTTTAGTTATTTGACTTTGACAATTCAACTATAATGAAGGAGGAATATAACCTAGGAGAAGACAGTTATACCTGTAAATATACTCTAGAATCTCTTTAATCTTCGGTTGAAAGTATCTGGAAATTCCTAAACGCTCCAAGCGATCAACAATCCATAACTGCTCGAAAATATCTATGGGATAGAGTTCTGGGACTAAAATTTCAAAAAAGTTTAGTGAGTTAGATTAAAATAATTATGTTCAATGTGAAATCATAATCATAAAATTGAAGGACAGTTATCTGTATATATACCTCCTCCATTAAAGTTCTGAGCCACGTTGTTTAAGTAATTGAGGCAGTGGAGGTCTTTGCTTTGATTGAAAGCAAAAGCAGTGGAAGAGGGACAGAACAAGTAAGAGCCATCTTTGCTTCTCACTCTTTGAAGTTTTTGCCATTGAAGCCCTGGTATTGCTTCCAAGCTGAACAACAATGATGTTGGCACACTCTGCAACACCTTCATCGGTATCCTTTAATTTTCGCATCATAAATCGGCCAAAGCAAAATGCATGTGAGAAGAAATAAAGGAAAAATTAATCATTTGATCCTCCTAGATTTGGCTCAATTATATTGTAACTCAACCTTTGAACTTTAACTCATTGTAATTTAGTATTTATAGTTTTAACTAGGTTATAATTCAGTTCCCAAAGTTTGACTTGATGCAACTCAATCACTATAATTATAATCATTTAAAATATTAGTCACTATATTTTATAAAGATTAAAATTATTTTGAAATTTAATCTTCATAAATATTAAAAATTTTAGTCCCTAAGTATCAAAATAATTTTATTGTTTATAAAATATAAGAACCAATATTTTAAATAGTTAAAACTACAAAGACTAGATTGTACCAGGTTAGAGTTCAGGGGCTAAATTACAATTAAGTCAAAACTACAAGGATCAAGAGTCAAAGTTTAAGGATTGGGTTATAAGATAGTCAATAGTTCAAGGACAATGAAATAAATAATGTTAATGTACCTTTTGAGCTTGGCATCTTTCCTTGCCAATATTTCTTGGAGGGCAGGGAAGTCGTTGGGCACATCAATGTTGAAACTCTTTGCCAATTGGAGAAGTGACGGCAGAATGACTTCAAACCCACATGTCATGTGCTCTTTGTTCTCCGTTTCCAGTGTGTTCACATGCTCTCTGAAGTATTGTAGCCCTATGTCCAATTATAACAAGTAAACATACGTCGTTAGTTTAATTTAATCCTATGAGGGGTCACAAATACAATATAATATAACTTCAGTGTGTGATTACCTCTCTCTACTTTTTCAGGATGAACGTTGTAGCGTGTTAAAGCAATAACAGAAGCTAAGGTGCAGATAAGCCTATCATAAGCCACAAATATACGAGGATCTCCCCATGAACCATCAGGAAGCTGATTGTCTATTATCCATTGAAGAGATTCTGGAAACTGAGGGGACTCACTTCCATTCACATCTTCAATCAGAGCCACCATTGCCGTGGGATAAGCTGAGGCTGATATTCTCTTCTCTCCTTCATTTGACTCTAAGTCCAATCTGATGGCATCCACTCTCCTTTTGATCTCCTCATTCATTACACAATCCTTTTTCCAAATCAAAACAATATATATGACGTCAAACTCACCATGTATAAACACACACACATATATATATGGGCTAAAGTGCAATTTGATCTTTAAACTATAGATCCAAGAGTGTCTAAATCTGGAACCCAAAGGCCCATTTGCTTGTTGGAAAGAAATGGAATGGAACTGATTGAAAAAATAAAGATTAAAAGATAATGATCAAGATGTGAAGAGATAAGTCAATCATGTTCATGAAGGGAGTGTAAATTAGTTCATGAGGCTGGGGGTCATGATTCTTCAGATTTATAATGGGTGTGGTGATTTTCACATTTGAAATATGTGGTATTGAGTTTTTTCATGTTCAATAGGAGGGGAGGATAATTTACTTTATTTTTGTTCTTATTTTTTTAATATATTGTATTCCTGTCATTTCCAACAATCCAATGGCTCCTAAACTCTTTTGTGATGCAATGCTTCCCTTTAATTTTTGAAAACGGTGCAATGTCACCTCTACCATTAACAAAAGTTAACTTTGATCATTAGTTGGCAGAAAATTAGAAAATTGCAGAAAAGGACAAAGAATGCAAATAAGAACTCAGAAAATTACAGAAAAGCACCTGGATCTTTTCTGTAATTTTTTCTTTTGGGTAATTTTGTGGTCAAATGACTATCAAAATTAACCATTAAGGGTAGGAGAAATATTGCATTGCTTTCGAAAGTTGAAGGGGAACACTGTGCCCAAAGCGGTTTAGAATCCTAGATAGTCCAATCATGTATGAGAAGGTGCATGGCATTGATATATTACCTCCAAAGCTTTTTCATCTTCTTCCTTAGTCCAATTATATGTTGGGAGCGTCGAACCTTCATTTTCCGAAGATATTAGTTCCGGTCTTACACTGCCGCTTCTTGCTCTGAAATCAGAGTTTCTCTCTGAAACGGTGACTCTAGCCTTCAATGGCGGCAAAGCCCCTATAACGACATAAACAATAACAATACTATATATATAAGCTTTTATTTACTGACAGAGGAAGACACACGAATAGCTATATTCATAAAAAGACAGCAAGATGAAGCTTAGATTACCATATTGAAAGATCCTATTACGGAAGAAGTGAGAATTATTCAGATGGAGAGTTGAAGAAGGAAAACAAGGAAGAGAGTGGGTGGCTTGGTGATACATATTGGTGGATTGAGAAGCCACTGATGTGTGTGCTTCTTGTTGGGATGTTTTTGGAGCAATCCTCTTCGAAATGAGTATGGCTTTGGCGATAGATGCACACTATTTATAACCACGAGAGGGTGGCGGTTACGCAAATTAAATTATCTAAATATTTTCTATAATATGTAAAGAAGTTATGAGTGCTTTTTTAGTTTTTTTATATATAAATTTTTAGATATTGTATTTTTTAATGAACAATGGACCACATGCAGATAAAATAAAAGTAAATTATAAGTGAAAGATACTTTATATGAACAGAAGATAGTAGTGTTGGCCAAAAAAAAAAACACACACAGAGAGAGAGAGAGAGAGAGAGAGAGAGAGAAGAACAGAAAAAAAAAGGAACAGAAGATAGTAGTGAAAAAAAAGAAAAACAACAAGATCAAAATTGATTTATTAATTAAAATTAAAGGATTAATTCTTAAAAAAGAAGAGACCGAGTTTGAAGACAGAAATTGAGTTTATGTAACTAGGATAATGTAGTTATAATTGACTAAAAGTACAACATATATTATTTGCTAGTTAAATAGAGATATATTTTGTGTAAAATGAAAAGATAAAAAAATATGAGGCAAAAGGTTGAGTAGATTGCAGAGCCCAGATTAAATTACACAAATTACATATTAAGTATATATAATATAATTAAAATGAAAATAAAACCTTTGTGGGTGACACTAACGTTCTCAACCACATTGTATGTATGCCTCTCAGACTGTACTTACATGCTCCAAGTCATATAACTCAAATTGTAAAAACTCAAATGTTTTAATGTTTTAATTAGATAGAAATTGAGTCTATCTAATCAGCATAATAGAGTTCTTATTGAATAAAAAGTACATATATATATATATATATATATGTATATATTGAATTAAAAAGTGGCTAAACTAGTCTTATGGGATCACCCCATTCAAAGGGATTACTTTGCCACAAGGGTAAAACACCATGCGCGAATAAAAATATATTTTGTGTAAACTGAAGGATAGAGGTATGAGATAAGAGGTTGAATAAATTGTTAAGCCCAAATTAAATAATACGAATTACATATCACGTATATATAATTAAAATGAAAATAAAACCTTTGTGGGTGGCACTAACGTCCACAATCATGTTAATAGCTATAATATGGCTGTGAAATTTACAAATAATTATTATAATTATTTAATTTATATGCAGTTATAAAATTTTTGCAAAATATTTTTATAAATAAATATAGTCTCCGACTAAGTTTACATGCATGTAGCCAAATCATGTAAGACAAATTCCAATTTTAAATTTTAATAACTTACGTGCTTTAAGGTTAGAAAGTTCAAGCATTTACAATTTTTTCCATTCCATTAGTTAGTAACATATTCTCCTATTTTGACCATAAACCTAGCAAGAAGTTTGCAACCGTATTTATTTTCTATTGAGAAAATATTATTTTATTTTTTCTTAACGAAAGATGTACTAATAATTTTTTTTAGAAGAAATATCTGTTGCTAGAATTAAAATATATATAAATATAATTAATTCCATGCTCATTTAATACCATTTTTATATAGTAAAATGAATTTAAATATTCCATGTTATTCAATAATTGTACTTTTTCACAAAAAAAGAGAGGAAGTTATGAGTGTATTATAAGTTTTAAACACAAATTTTAAGAAGTTGTTAAACGCACGTTATATGCGCAGAAAATAGTTAAAAAAAAAAGAAAAACAGGAAAATCAAAACTCAAGATTAATACTTAATTAAAAAAAGTAAGAGACTAAGTTTTAGAGATAAAAATTGAGTTTATGTAAAAAAAGTAATTGACCAAAATTGCAATATATGCATATATTGAATCAAAAAGTCAGTAAACTAGTCTTATGGGATTTCGAAATATCCTCTAATACTAAACTCAATTAACTCTATGATAATAATTATAAACAAATAAACCAATAATTAACAGGTATTGGTCTTAGTGGAAGGAGTTATATGAGATCTTAAGTATGAAATCTTGAGTTCAAGTTTGTATGAATGTAAACAAAATTAAATTAAAATATTTAGAAGAGCTACCCCTAATTAGACTTAACAATATTTCAATCTAACCTCATCAGATAGTGATATGAAAAAACAGAAATAACCCAATAAGAAAGCTTACTATAATAGAAAATCTTTAACATAGACAGTCCATAGTTTGAAATAGGCCAACCATAAAGTATATGTAAGTAATAAGAATGGTATAACATAAAAAGTATATAAATATTTTCTATAATATTTTTCAAACTCATATAACATATATTAAGGTTAGGGTTCATGGGTAATTTTGCCATTAAACTGTGGCTAGCTTCTAGATCATATGGGATCTTAAACTATTTTTTTTTTTTACAATATTTCCATTCAACAATTGAAAAGGGTGCAATATTGTCCTTACCATTAATGAAAATTAACTTTGACCATTAGTTGACAATTAAAAAAACAGAAAATGGCTTGAAAAATTATAGAAAACGATTCAGAAAAATTACAAATAAATATCTTATAAAAAATTAATACCAATTAAGTTCCTCCTATTATAAATAAATACCAAGAGACAAATGTCATTTTCCCATGTAAATTAAGACTAAAATTTGATTTTTGACCATCCACGTTGACATGCTACTAAGTGATTGTGGGATCACTATTATTGATAACATCGGTAACGTCATGACCCAAAAATATCATAGTATCGTGTCAATTCAAAAGTAATTCTGAACATTTATTTGATTGACATTTAAGTAATCGTTGATAATTGGTTTTGATTACTTTATGTTATGAGTTGGTACCTTATGTCTCAAGTTTATCGCAGGTATGAATTTAAAAAAAATACTATTTTTTAAAAATATCTATTAAATACTAATGCTTAAATATTGAATAATTTAAATATTATTATTATTTATAAATATTCCTCTAAAATTTATAAATCATCTTTTGAATATTAACATCTCAACTAGTGTATCCAGAATTGATAGATGAATGCCTTTTTCACACTAGCTGTATTGTAAATTAAAATACCGTAATAAATTATAAATCAACCACCTTCAAAACCTAATTATTATTTATTAAAGTACTAACGTTTTAGTAAGATATTATTAAAACAAATATATTATTTTTAAGTTACTTACCAGTAATTGTGATCTGATAATCACTAGGTTGCTTGTCATAGTAACTAGTTAAAGCGGTGTATTGCTCTTTTATGTGGATAAAAAATAACATTAGTTTCTTAGAATTTATTTGTAATACAAGATACTTAATCTACAATGATTTTCTTATAAGGTAATTATTTATAATTTTATGGGTCTTTTTTTTGTAATTTTTGAGGTCTTACTCTATAATTTTCTTCTCAACTAAGAATCAAAGTTAATTTTTGTTAACAATAAGGGCAACATTGCACCGTCTTTAATTGTTGAAAGGAAATGTTGCACACAAAAAAAAGTTTATGATCCCAAACGTTCTTAGAATGATAATTTAAAGACAAAAAAATATGTAAATATTATATGAGGCAATTTCCATTTTATTCTAATAAATGCGTTGATTGCCGTGCTTATTATTTAAAAGAACATTCAAACCCCATGCATGAATATCAGACATGGTTTTTAAGTTTGTCCAAGTCCCTATTATATTTTGCTCCAATATTCCCTTTTCAAATAGAACTTACTTGTAAGAGACGATGGCTGCTATCAGACTTGCCGAACGTCAAGCCGTCTCAAACTCATTCACTTTTTTTTTCCCCCCACAACATTATTTTTGTGTCTGGATTCAGTGTACCCCTACAGTTAGTCAATTAGCCACAAGTGTCAAGATTGATATTATTTTGTATTTTGATTCATTTAAAATAAAAAAGTGTTAAAATTAAAATATAATTAAAAATGGGAAAAAAGATGCAACATTCAAATCTTACAATCTAGATAGTCCAATAGAAGAATCATATGACTAGTTCCAATTTTCTTTTTCCCCGAGCAAAGGCTAGTTCCAATTTATATTATCAACTTCACGGGAATTTAGGGATTTCAATTTTAGGGGATTTGGTTCCATTTTTTTAAGAAAAATATATATTTCCATAATTAAAATCAATATGACTATAATTAATTTCATGTTCATGTAATACCATTCTTATATCAAAAAAGATTTTAAATATTACATTCCATTCAATAATTGTAATATTTTAAAAGAAGAAATTATCAGTGTATTTTAAGTTTAATGTATATAAATTTTAAGAAGTTATATTTATTAACAGAAAATATAATTATTGCTTGAACTTAAATAAATATAACTATGCTTATTCTCATGCACATATAATACCAATTTGTTTTTTCAAAAAAGAAGTTAAATATTGCTTACTATTCAACAATTGAAACTTTTTAAAAGAAGTTATGAGTGTTTTAGAAGCTTAAATATATGAAATTTTAGAACATGTATTTTTTATAACAAATAACGGATTGCATGCATTAAAAAAAGGAAAATTACAAGTGAAACATACGTTATATGAAAAAAAGATTGTAAAGAAAAAAGAAAAAACCAAAATCAAAATTAAAAGATTAAATTATTTTTAATTTAATCTATTATTGTAAATGCATTAAATTATAAAAAAATTTAAAAGAAAAATATTGCTGCCTTCAGTAATGCCAACCTGCAAAAAACATAAGCAAAACAAAAGGACAATTAGAAAACAATGTACATGTCATAAAATTAAGCAACTAGAAAATAAAGATATTGAGAGAAGAAATAGAGACAAGAGCATGAGAGAATTTCTTATGGATTATTGTGTCTTTCAATACAACTTACATGCCATATTCATCGGCATGGTTTTACACATCAAATGTTACACAAATGATAAAAGTAAATAAAGGGTAATCAACTCTCATGATGATAGGAGTTTCATGGGAGAAGATGATGAAGAGGTGATGAAGATGGACATCTACTATCCTTGTAATATTTATAACACTCCTCCTTGGATGTCCATTATATAAGAATATGCCTCATTAAAAACTTCAACTAGGAAAAACCCTGTGGGAA